ACCAGTGATGTAAAACGTACATGCAAGGATGATCCAAGTAATAAAAAAATGCGGAGTTCTCGCGACTGTATGAAGGCTTGGGAGGAATTATGTGGCATCTAAGAACCTTCCTGAATGTGTAATCAGCAACCTAGAACGTCCGGGCAGCATTTGAAGTCCTTCCAAATGATTGGACAGCAAGAAAACATGTGCAAACATCCCTGGACTGCAAACCAAAACCTTAAGACAGCTGGTACGAAAGTTTGGACAGCACGCCTTGACCTTAGGAACCTTGGCAGCAGCTCTACGGGTGATCGGATCTCAGGACAGTGCATAAAATCTGTCCAGAAAAATTTGAATTTCAAATATGGAGTGGTGGAGAGAGGGCCGGCAGGTGGAGGGTTGGAGGCCAGTGGCTTGGTTGTCCCAAGGAGGCCGGCAGAGCCGCCGGTGGTGGGATCAGCCTGGGGTGGCCGGCGTTGGACTTATGGGGGCCGGTGGAAGGGAATTTGGGAGGAAGAGAGTTCGGTTAGGTAGAGAAGAACTAAATTGGGTTTAGGAAAAAGAAAATATGGAGCTACACACCTCGAGTAACACCTCCAATAAACTCATAAAGAGATCTATAAGCGCCACTTCCTCAAGAACTTACAAAGAGATATTGAGAATCTCGGAACTCTCAAAGAGATCCTTCTCATCTCTTGAACTCACTAAGAGATCAAACAAGTAGAATAAAATTTCATTAACATTTCATCATCCCATTACACAAGGAGTCTTTATATATAGACCCAAGAAACTAAAACAAGACACATATGCCCCTATGGCTTACATAGGACGACCCTCTTATGCGAGGGTAAAAAATGGAAAATTTATAATAAAAATTTAAAAATTACAAATAAAATATAAGATAACGTGGGGCGATGACAGCCGTCGATCTTCAGCTTCTCGGATAGACATGGACGGTTGGATGTCCGCATCATTCTCCCGGGATGAAAAAGTGATCGACTCCGTCGAGTCCGCACCCCAGGTAACCATGCTATGATACCAAACTGATGTAAAACGTACATGCAAGGATGATCCAAGTAATAAAAAAATTCAGAGTTCCCGCGACTGTATGAAGGCTTGGGAGGAAGTATGTGGCATCTAAGAACCTTCCGGAATGTGTGATTAGAAACCTAGAACGTCCGAGCAGCATTTGAAGTCCTTCCAAATGGTTGGACAACAAGAAAACATGTGCAAACTTCCCTGGACAGCGAACCAAAACCTTCAAACAGCTGGTATAAAAGTTTGGACAGCACGCCTTGACCTTAGGAGCCTTGGCAGTAGCTCTAGGGGTGATTGAATCTCAGGATAGTGCTTAAAATCTGTCCAGAAAAATTCTGGACAGCAGTTTGGCATGAAGAACTGCTGCGTTCCGGCTTTCTGGATGCAAAAATTGAAAGAGTATAGCAGGAAAATTTGGGAATAACAATGGGAAATAGTCTTGAGATTAATTTACTTTCCTAGGTGGCAAGATTAATCAAATCCCATATCAATTTGGAAGAGAGAGAATGAAAATCTGAAATTAATTTTCAGATTAAGTGGAATTGGCGGGATGAATTTGAATTTAAATTTAAATTTTATTGGGTAGAATTAAATTGGAGGAGAGGGAATTGTGGGAGGTAATTAGGGAGGCTTAATGAGAGGGGCCATTAATGAAATTGTAGAGAGAAAGCTCATGAAGAGGGGCCGGTCATAGAGAGAGAGAGGGGAGAGGGGAATTATGGTTAATTAAGTGGGGCCCACACATTATTCAAAGCATTAAAGAAAATCTGAATTAAAATTGAGATTTTATTTCAAGGAGGGGTTTCTTAATTTAAGTGCTAGTATTTGGAAAGCTTTTGAATTTCTAATTTGAATGTGAAATTCAATTAATAGCTCTCTTAATTACTTGGCCTTATTTTAGGGAAGCAATTAATGCCATTTTGAAATTTGAATTTCAAACATGTGGGTTGGGTGAGGGGGGTAGAGGTGTTTCCAAATAGGTAGTGAATATTAAGAAAGAAAAATGATAACTCCAATTTGATTTATGTTGAAATTGGATTCATTAAAGAAACTTTCCTAATTTGGGATTCCCTATATGGAAAGAATTTGAAATTTGATATTTAAATTTCAAATATGGAGTGGTGGAGAGAGGGCCGGTGGGTGGAGGGTTGGAGGCCAGTGGCTTGGCCGTCCCAAGGAGGCCGGCGGAGTCGCCGGTGGCGGGATCAGCCTGGGGTGGCCGACGGTGGACTTATGGGGGCCAAAGGAAGGGAATTTGAGAGGAAGAGAGTTTGGTTAGGGAGAAGAACTAAATTGGGTTTAGGAAAAAGAAAATCCGGAGCTACACACCTCGAGCAATACCTCCAATAGAACTCACAAAGAGATCTGCAAGCGCCACTTCCTCAAGAACTCACAAATAGATATTGGGAATCTCGGAACTCAGAAAGAGATCACCTCGAGCAACACCTCCAATAAACTCACAAAGAGATCTACAAGCGCCACTTCCTCAAGAATTCACAAAGAGATCTTGGGAATCTCGGAACTCACAAAGAGATCCTTCTCCTCTTATGAACTCACTAAGAGATCAAACAAGTAGAATACAATTTCATTAACAATTCATCATCCCATTACACAAGAAAGAGCCTCTATATATAGGCCTAAGAAACTAAGACAATGCCCCTATGGCTTACATAGGACGACCCTCTTAAGTGAGTGTAAAAAACAAAAAAATTTATAATAAAAATTTAAAAATTACAAAGAAAATATAAGATAACGTGGGACGATGACAGCCGTCGATCTTCAGCTCCTCGGATTGACATGGACGATTGGATGTCTACATCAACCTGTCTTCCGCCTCTGTGGGTCCACTACCTATGAACGATGGAGGCTTCATGTCTTGGAATAACTTCACGTTTTTATCCATTGGAGTACTTCCACTGCCTCTAGTCGGGGTTTGAGTACTCTTTATCATTTGGGTCATAGTTGTTATCATCCGTGTAAAAGATTCTATAGTAGCATTGATGCTATTACTCGAAGGTTCTGCTACAACTGAAATCTCCCTCCTAAGCTCTCTCGTAGTGCCATCAGTGGCATCGTTTTCAGGATCCATGACTCTGAGATATAACGCGATGAAATAAAATTAGTAATCTATAATACACATACCCTATACATTCTCTAACCAAGAGAATTATCCTATTGGTTCTTTCATATTGATCAATATTCCTAAACCCTTTGCTCTGATATCACTTTTGTCATGACCCGGCCCGGTGAGCTCGCATTGGCGAGGCGGGAACGGAGGTCGGACAGTAGACTAAAATATCTAATTCCTAAAACTATCACCTTAACATTTGAAAGAGCCTATAAAACATTAAATTTGAAAACACATTAACATAAAATTATTAATATTCATAAAATTACATTTCTTTAGGCGCTTCTCTCCTACGGTATACATTTCCATCCCTTCTACTCATTTGAATAACTTAAACTTACCTGAAAAATGTTAACAACTAACAGTAAGCCAATGTTTAGTAAGTAAAACATGATTCTAAATTAAATTAATTAAGGTAAAATGAATAATATGCTATATGCCACATTTCATTTGAACATAACCTAAATTTTCTTCTTCATATAAACATAACATCAAACATATACATAAATCATAAATACATATCCTTCATATTCTACATTAATCATATAAATATTCGTAACTTTCTCATTTCATATATAGTACAACCATTACAGGAGACGCCGTCTAGTACCATAAAGGTACTCCTTTATCATTTTCCTTTTCTATAACCTTTAACATTTTAACGTGTACGAGTACAACGTTCCCAGCTAATATCATAAGGGATGAGTTCCATCAATTCAGCATTCACATACAAGCATTCAATAAAAATCATAACATCTCATATCATTTCATCTCATTTTTATAACATATAAACTTTATAATATATTGCCATAAAATATAACTTATAATTTGCATGATCAACCATTTGACAAGAATAACAAATCATGATCTAAATTAATCATAAAGATTTCATAAACATGCTTGACCTTTCAAATCATATAATTGGAGAGAAACAAGTCATTACTGTAAATAAAAAATCATATATACTTACTGAAATTAGGAATTTGATTCTCTTTGCTAATCCTCCTTCCTTCGAGGTCACCTCAAAACACCTATAAGAATTAATTTCTCCATAAAAAATCTACAAAATAAATTTAAAATAAAATCTTCTCTTTCTAAACCACCCTATACTCTCCCTCTCCCTCTCTCCAAATGATCTCATAAACCAAGTATATATTTTAAAAATTCATTTTTTTGTATAATTATATATTTCATTCAAATTAACCCTTTACCCTAACCAAAAGTTATTTAAAATAATTATATTTTTGGATTTAACCTAAAACCCTAATTTTGGAAAACCTATTTTCATTAATATGCTTACTTTTGCATGCTAAAATTCCCCATTCATCAAAATAATAATTATAGAAAACTAATCTTTGGATTTAAATTAAATTAAAATTATAAAAATGATATTTTGTATAAAAATCCTAATTTATGTCTTTAGAAACCCTAATAGTCAAAATAATCGGTGGAGGAATTAATATGCACAAGAAAAGATAAAAAATAAGAAAATTTGTTATAAAAATTAATTTAAATATAATAACTAAGAAAATTAGGATAAATATAGAGGGGCCCAAAGGGAGTCTAAGAAAGCTATATGTGAAACAAAAATTTAATTTTCAGTGATTTATATAATAAATTAGATACGAATGAGGGTGAAAGATCTATTTATAAGTTAGTCAAACAAAAAAATAGAAGATCAAAAGTATTTTCTTAGAAGATGATATTTAACATATGTGAATGGAATATTTTGATAAACTGTTCAATGAATGAAGTGAGAATGCAATTTAGTTTAGTGACCATAGATTAGTGTAGAATTTAGTTAAATCCGTCTTCTTTTGGTCTAAATGCAATGCTTTTGTTTAATTCACAGATTGCTTTTCACGGGATAGATATTATTAGAGAAACTGTCATGCTTGATGGAAGTGAAGCATCTGCAAGAATTGAGGCAAAATCTTTATTAGGATCAGAAAAGCTTGTTCCTTCTGCTTCTCTAACTAAGGTAATGCCATTCTTGAATTCATACGAATGCTTGTTTTTAGCAATCTTCTTCATTGTAGTGATAACAACATTATTTGCAGATAAAAACATCATATCGACCTGTAGACTCTAATCTTAGTGTACTTACTCCTAACCGTGATAAGCTACCTTCAGGAAAACAGATTCTTGGCCTTACTTTAACGTGAGTTCTCATTTTGCTGTTTTTTTGAAGAAATAAGATAGAAGTACATCAATACTAATCTGTCCAGTTATATGCTGTAGTTACAAGTTCAAGTTGGATGAAGGAGCTGAAATAAAGCCACGTGTCCCTCTTCTAAACAACCGCATTTATGATACCAAATTTGAATCTCAGTTTTATACTATTTCAGACTCTAATAAGGTTGGTTTCAGTTTCTTATTTTTGTGCATATGAATTTGTATGTTTGTGTTTTGTTCAAGTTGTTCATGTTTTTTTTTTATTGATAATTTTTCTTCAATCCTTACGTTCTATTAGTTAGATTTTTGTAACAACTTTGTGCTATATTTGCTAGGCTATCATAACTATTTGTTATATGATCTTGCAAATCTTGATATTTATTTGCTGACGTTGGTATATGGTGCTGACAAGTCAAAACTTAATAATTCATTCAAAAGCTTCAATGATATATATATGAGTTTTGTGCTTTTTCTTGTCTCTTTTATAGCGCATATATGCATTTGGCGATGTCTACCCAAAGTATGTGAAGATTCCTAAAGGAGAGTACACACTGCAATTTTATACAAGGTAATATTGATTATCATGCTGCATCACACAGTTCATTTATGACCCGTAATTGCCACTTATACTATGAGAAAACCATATTTTTCTTTTTAATTATATTAAATTTAAGGTGGCAATGAAAACGGATATCATCTGTCAAGCAGTTGACTAGGTTCATTGGTTATTATGATACTTCAGTTGTTAGAAGGTTGAAAAGTTATACAACTGGCATTGGCACAATGCCAAGGTGCTTTCTATGTGAAAGAAATGGGCCAGGAGTTTTCTTGACTTCTCAAATGTTCCTGCCATTATAATCGTTCAAACTTCCTTTTAAATCACTTTCAATGGTACCCATTGATGGCTCTGTAGAAGTGAAGAAATTTTGTACATTTGTCTTTACTAAATGCCTTTTAGACAATATGTAATATCTGAAACATGTACATAGGCTATATTTAAAACCATGAACCTTGTATCATTGCTGTTGGTTGTGAATCCCACCAACAAGAGGAAAGGGAGATCCTTTCCTCTTATAAAAAATATATATAAACGTGATAAAATTGTTCTTCTTATGTTGTTATGGGTGGCGGCGGAGCACTTTTGACTTTGTAAGTTCATTTGGATTATTTCTTTGGTAGATCTTTATCAAGTTATGAATCACGGAGATTTTTGAAGTTTAATTCCCATGATTGAATGTAGAAGTTCTAAATGCCCAAGCATAGTTTGTTTTGAGAAGAAGATAAATCAAACATGCCCTTAACCCTGTTCTGAGGTTTGGGCTTTGTCTGTCCATTCTGATGAAACATTGTCTGCAAGGTGGACTGATGTGGAACATTTAAGAATTGCACGTGAAATTCATTACGAATCACAAAGTTTACTAAAGTATGATTAGGCTTTCCGTAAATTAAGATTCAAGCAATTTCCATTGGTGAAATGTTATGATAAGCAGTTTCAAGGTAGTGTTTAGGCACAATTAATGATGAATCTCCAAAAGTTCACAACAAAGCAAATGCGGAAAATTAATAAAATCCCACGGTTAATATTTAGAAATTTCACAATGAGTACCTTGCTCACTCACACTCAATTCGGGTTAGCGGGAGAAGGACTTTAGCAAACTCAACGACGCCACGAAGATGGTGGCCACACCAAAGGCCTTTAGCCACGGAGAGATTGACGGTGACGAGGAGGGCGTGAATGCTTGGCTCTCGAGACTCATTTGAAAGTTGTCGGTCGTAGATGCTTGCGAGGACCGGGACGACTCTCTCCAAATACTCCTCCACGGTGGCTTTGTCTTCAAACCCTACGTCGAAGCACGGCGATCGCAAGATGTTAATACTTCCGTCGGCGTTGAAGACTAATCCCCACTCAAACT